ACTGAACCTTGGTGATGTATGAAATGAAAAGAACCCAGTTTGATTCTCAGAACCCAGGCTGACGTACAAAGCTGGTGGTTAGAAAAACATCTTTTCTACTTACAAAAACGGAGAAGATTTGATACAGAAAGAAACAAACTTGGAACCCGTGTGCCTGTTTTCAGAGTAGAATTTCTCTTTAAAGAACTTCAGGAAATGCGGAAAGTCACCTGCATGTGACTTTTCTCCTCTACAGAATTAGATCTGTTGTAGTATTCCACTATTGTCAATAGGAGATAAGTATATGAACAGAAGACAGTCCATAAAAATCAAAAGTTTAAGTTTAAGCAAAATAAATATTTTTTTCCAAGATAAACACAACTTTTGACTACTTATCACCCAAGCGCAGCTCAACTCCTCTGAAACTATGGCCTACTTTGGACCGGGGCAGATTGGATTGCAATTGTCAGGCAACAAGTTCGGTGACATACACATGAGTAAAATAAGCAGGATTGGACCCCAAGAGTTCAAGACCTGCTGAGAATGCATCAATTTCTAAAATCCTTAGAGGAAGTAGTGAATCATTAAGGTGAGAGATATATGGAGAATGTTATTAAGCAGTTTGTGTGGGGGCACTGCTTGTGTCATAATAGCAATAATATAGTCTCTGTTCTTTCCTGGGCAATAATCTGATTCCCTCATTGTAATTATCCACTCAAAAATCAGATTACTATTGAGAGAAAGGAGGGCAAGGTTTATTATTACATAATTTATGCAGTTATATGATTTCTATTCTAAAAGATCAATTTAGAACTTTTGTAGTTCAGGGGATTAGTCATTACAAACAGCCTCTGACCTCTGTCATTCATATCATTTAAATTCAGTTCTGTAGTGACTGGAAATTGTTTCCATCTGAGAGTTTACTAGCATTTGTGAAATGAATCAGGTGATTTCAGTTCTCAATGGACTGGTATCCATCAGAAAAAATCACCAAAATGGGCACTAATTGGCAACCTGGTTGGAAGTCATAGTAGAAAAACCAACAACTGAAAGATTACAGAGGATGAACTAGCCTCTCTCTCTCTCTAGTTAAATGGTCCCTCCAGATCAGGGTAGAGGCACTTAATACACTCCTAGTTTCAAGTTTTCTTTAATTAGTGTATCTGGTAGTTCTGATTATTTCCTTACAGCCTGATCATGCAACATGCTATTCATGGATCATCTCTTGGGAGGAAAAACTAGTTCTGTAATCAAAGTACACTGGTACTATTAATATTATGACCTTAAACATTTTCACATGATTCTTTTGATATTCTATATTTAGAAGTGTATGCTTCAAAATACACTTATCTTCAATACATATTATACAGCCCTATCCTACACTGCAATGCATATCACTCTATTTACCTCTCATATTTCATTATATTTTTTAAATGTAATGAAGTTTGAAGAAAAATAGAAAGAATTTTAAAAAAAATAAAGAAATTCTAAGGATTTACACAATAGATGACTGGATTTTGTAGACCTGTGGTGAAGAATTGACTTAACTGTACTGTACACAAAGGAACTTTAACATCTGGGAAAGAGTACGGTATTACCATAGGTTAAGAACATATGTGCTTTTAATTGTACAGTATTCAGTATCATCCTGTGTATTTAGTTATTCTAAAATAACTATATCAAAATTGGCAAACAGCCTATCACCAGTACCCTTGTCTGAGTGTTAATTACTGCATCAACCTCCTCCTCTTTAATCTCCCAGTATCCGCCTTACCCTAATTAATACTATCTGAAGTGCTTCAGTAAAAGCAAACTACCTCACCTGCCATTATAACCCCTCATCAAATCCCTCTGCAGGCTTCCAATTGTTGTCCAAAGCAAGATTAAGACCCTTGTCTTTACTTCCAAAGTGCTGCACAACCTGACTCTAGCTATCTTTTTCCACTGTCTTCCTTCCCCAGCTTACTCTGTCCAACGCACACAAGTAACTACCCCTTGAGTTCTTCCATGCTGCTACATATTCCTAAAACCTTAATCCATGACTCAGATATAATGCATCTCCACCTTTTGATCCTCCAACTCCCTTCTGAAAACACAATTCTTCAAGGAGGCCTATAAACACTAACTCATACAGCTCATTAACTAATGAACATATGCCCATAAAAAGAAAAGACACATACCAAAAAGCACAAAACTAATAAATTGTGTACTTATCACCACTCATGTTGCTTTTCATTGTTCCCCTCCTATGTTCCTATGTTTAGATTGTGAACTCTTAATAGTAGTGAAGCATCATTCTATCAGTAGCCTGTTTGACAGGTGCTACTATGAAATCATAACATAGTTTAGCTTAACCTAGAGAAGAGAAAAAATAGGAGCAATGACACACCACATCATATGATAATCTTTTCTATAGGCATTGTTTTCATAAAAAGCAACAGAGCGTCCTGTGGCACCTTTAAGACTAACAGAAGTATTGGGAGCATAAGCTTTCGTGGGTAAGATGGCATCTGAAGAAGTGAGGTTCTTACCCACGAAAGCTTATGCTCCCAATACTTCTGTTAGTCTTAAAGGTGCCACAGGACCCTGTGTTGCTTTTTACAGATTCAGACTAACACGGCTACCCCTCTGATACTTGACACCATTGTTTTCATAGTTATTCCTATAAAGAGAGTTGACAGCTGATAGTCATTTACATTTATACCATCCTGAGAGTAAAGCATATGTATTTTTATATAAATTTATGTACATTCAAAGCATATTTCAGGTCAATTTCATGTATACCATCACATCTGCCTACTACTGCCTTCCTTTCAGAGTCAGTTAGACTTCTGAACATGTTCTCAGTTACTTCAATATAGAGAAGACTTTTTTTTTTAGAAGCTTACATACCGGAATCTAACTAGAAGTACTATTTTCCATTTAAAATAAAAATATAGTGATAGTTTAAGACAATTGAGTGATTTAAAATAAAGCAGCAACAAGTTTAAGTATCAGCATTGTGGAGTTATTTTTTAAATATTAAGGAACAGTCAAAGTAACTGAATTCCTTTTATGACACATATTCAAGACTACAATTAACCTTTACTGGCCTTTGACTGACTGTCATTACCCTTGGATAAAAATAAGAAAAATGTCTCCTTGGTATTCTCATTTATTAGTAAATCTGCATCGATATCCAAAAACTTATGTTCTTGTTCTTTAGTTGACTAATGCCAATCATGGTAATGAGATTAAAGCAACAGCACAGAAATTATATTGTATTTTACTGTATTCTTTTAGAAGAGTGTCATTAAAGGTCACGGTCATCTAAGTTTCAAACCCCCTTAGAAATTTAATTTTCTCTCCTTCTCCCTCCCCCTCCCTGTGATTCTGGGCTTGAAGTTTATGCTCAAATATTAGTATAATCTTCACATTCCTTTCCAATTGACAAGCCCTATTTTATGGGGTTAAAATTAACTTTTCTGTTTTTGTTTGGTTATGGATAGAAAAATCTTCCTCTGCAAAACAATAATGTGTTCATTAGTATCAGCAGTGATGTCAGCTCATCTCCAAAACATAATTGCTATGGCTAAGCCAGGAGAAGCAAAACAAAACTTTATAGGACCAACAAAAAACAGAGAAAATGGCTTTACTATACTTTTTACATTTCTCACTAGAATATAGAGTGTTTGTTTGTTTTGAAAACAGTTATTTAGAATTCAGAGGAAGTTTTCCTATCATATCCAAAGTCAAATTTGGAGTCTGAAATTCCTGACAAAGTCCCTATAATTTCAAATTTGGGGAAGAAAAACAAGCTGTGCCTGTGTTTACCTTAAGTTTTAAAGCAAGTATAGTCTAATAAATATTAGAAAAAACCTGACAGATTCTCTTTGGGTGTATTCATTGATATATAGGATTAAAAATCCATAATCATTACTGAATTTCAAAGGTGATCTAAATTTCAGAAATTGCAGACTGACAATGACTGAGGACTTCCCAGCATCTCCTGAAGGCCCTATTGAGAGAAAATTAATTCCAGCACCACTTTATTTTCTATGCAATCATCACACTGGGAAATATTGCATGATTAATTCTAGTGATACAATTCAGTATTGACCCAAGTGAGTATGTAGCAAAGGGTTATTTCCTCTATATTATTAGAAAAGTCTTCCACACACAAAGTATTGTACTCACTACTCTCAGATCCAAACATCCCTGCCAGGCTCCATCAATCCTTTTTCTGTTTCCTAAATCTGGTGCAACAAATGTCAATGTCCCCAATCCCCACCTCCCCCTCTTGGGGGGGAAAAAAGGCCACATACATCCTAAAACATAGCAAGATTTCCAACCATTGCTAACACTAGCAAACCCTCAAAAGCGAGACGCCCAAGAGTGGAAAGGTGCCTAGGTCGCTACAGCTGTTTCACGTTTTGGAGGGAGGAAGAGAGGGATAATTGGATGCCAGGCGTTTCCGATCTTGGACATAACGCAGCGGCGGCTGCAGCGCAAAGCAAACAAGAGAGCTGAAAGCTGCGCCGCGAGCGGCTATGGGGAGGCTGCAGGGCTCGTGGCTGGGTGCCCAGCCCCCGGCCCGCCTGCCCCGCGCTCACTCAACCTAAAAAAGTTTCCCCGGGACGCCGAGACTGCCCCGCGCCCGCTCGCGACACCCAGACACGCGCGCTGGCCCCGCGTCCCAGCATCACTCCAGCCGCTGCGCTCAATAGGCTGCCCCGCGCTCGGACGCCGCAGCCCCGGGAACAGCCCAACGCGCCCCCCTTCCCGGCCTGCGCCTGGCAAGAGCCCCGGGCCCCTGCCTGGAGACGCGCACTCCGCGGGGTGCCTCCCGCTGGCTGTCGCGGCTGGCCCTGGAAAGGGCTGAAAGAGCCGCCGCCAACGCCGAAAGTCCTCGCTGGGGCGTCAAACTCCTGCAGACTTGCCGGGGAGTTTGGCTGGAGGGAGCGGGCACCGCGGGACTGAGTCCCGCTCACGCCGCAGGCAGCCGCCCGAAGGAAGGAAGGAAGGAAGGCAGCACTGGGTACCTTGCGCAGTGATGGAGGGTGGCAGCCGGGGCCGGCCCTTGTGAGATACCCAGAGAAAGAAGCGGCTCCGCGAGCGCCCGGCTCAGCCTCAGCTCCCGGCTCAGCCACCGAGAAAGTTTCCTGACGTCAGGCTGGGCTTCCTCCCGCCTCCCCTCCCACCATTGATCTGCCGGAGCTGGCGCTTCGGTGCTCCCGGGCTCCCTCTGGCTCACGCCGTCTTGCTACAGCGGGAGGTGGCCTGGCTCATTGGCAGTCTGAGCGCGTGTGCGTCCCCCTCCCGCGCGTTAGCTCGCTCAGCGCCCAGCCAGGCGACTGGGACTTTGCCCCGGGGTGGTTTAGAAGGGGAATGATCCCCCCGCCGCCTTCCCACAGCAGCTTCGCGTGCCAGAGGTAATAGAAGCAGCTAAACTGTCTTAAACAACCATAGAGGGTCTGGCAGGGAGCTGCAGTCTTGGAGAAATCTGCTGGGGGGGGAGGGTGCAGATTCTGGGGGATGCATTCTCAGGGATGGGGTAAGAGTATCTAGGCACAACCCCCACCTGATTGGGGTCCCCAGCTATGAAGTCATGTGGTGGCATAAGTGATGTGAGCAGGGGTCATCAAAGAGCACCTGTACAAATACAGCTGGGGAGAAGAGGAGGTGGCTCAGCAGGCTTCTTTCTACCTTAGGTAGTTTATGAAATGCCTTCCGTCTCCAGTGACCTGTTGCCACTACTACTCAGGTGGGTCTTTGGAGACTGCCAAGACTCAGACTCAACAAGCAGAGAGCCCTGGCAGAGGACATTGCCACAAGGCTGCATATAAGAGGGATGGCAGCTACCCTCATATCCCTGCTTGGAACGGTGCACCTACTACCATGGAAGGTGAGGGTGGTGTGTGCCTGTGATGGAGAGTCCTGTGAGAAGCAACCACCCTCCCAGAGCAGGTACAACCCCACCCAGGTGTAGAGCCCTAGGCTAGGGTGTCAGGAAGTCTTCTCCCACAAGAATCCTGCTGGACTGGCAGGAGGAGAACTGCTCACAGAGGACATGCTGCTTATCTTGGCAAGGGACTCTCTCCTCCCAGATGGAACCCAGCCTGTCTGTGGATGGGAAACAGCAGACTAGTTGCACATCAGGGAAGAGAGAGAGAACCACTGACTCACTGAAGGGATGACAGCAGAGCCCCTGTCATCCCAGAATAGGACTTGTGTGTGGGTGGTACAACCATACCAAGCAAGGTCAAGGCCATATTGAGATCAGATCTATAGGAGCCCCTGATTGAACAGGTGTATGGTCTCACATTGCCTTAATCCAGCTCTGCCTAGGGAAAAATCTTCTGGGGGCAGAGGGAGGTGAGAAAGGGGAAGAGGAAGCAGTTTAAGGGACAGAAAGTTCCGGAGGCAGTCTACTAGTGGGCTGCGTGATGTAGGGCATGCATTCATTGAAGATGCCTACTCTGGAAAGGTGGTGTTTAGGGAGCACATCTACTGGAAAGTACTCATGCACAATTGGTCAATTTGATCTTTAAGAGTACTGATGGATTCCTTGCTGTCTCTGAGCTCTCACAGAGAAACATTACTCATGGATAATGCTTTCATCTCCAGTTGGCTATTTTAGCAGATAATGTCCTGGTTTCAGTTATTCACACTTTTGTCACTTGTTTGCTGGACTACCGCAATGCAATATACCTGGGCATGGTGCCTTTAGCACTTAGGAAACTCCAAATAGTACAGAACACTGCACCATATCTTCTCAGCACCACAGGCTACCACAAGCATATCAAACTTGGCCTCTGGTCTTTATGATGGCTTCCCATAGAATTTCTAAACAAAATCAAGATCTGAGAGCTTATCTTCAAAGTAATCCATAGGCTGGATCCAGGCTATCAAAAAACCTACCTAAAGCTCTGGGATGAAGTGTGTGGTCAACAACTCTGCTCCTCGGGCACAATTAAACTCTCTACAATAAGGGTAAAGACCATCATTATAAGAGCCAGAACTTTCTCAGGACCAATCTGAGACCATGGAATGATCTTCCCCAAGGAATTCAGGACCTTTGCAAACCTCACCACCTTCTGCTCCAAGTGCAGGGCACATTTATTTGGCAGTGCCTTCTCTAATAACTACATAATGTATGTGTATATATTACACACAAACTAAAACCCTACCAAAACAAGACACTGCACACACTTCTCTGCCTGGAAAGAGAATGAGAGAACAAACACCACATGACAGATGTGTAGTCATATCTTATACCCTACTGGAAGGTGTTCAGGAACTACAGTAATGAGCACAGTATAGAATACATTTTTTGAGCAAGTCTGCAATGAGGGATAGAAGTCTTCTGGGTAGGGGACATACATTCCCTCTTATTCTGGCACTGGGAGATGCAAATTAGGGGATATATATTCCTTGTTAAAGTGTGCTGTAGGGGGACACAAGCTTTAAGTTCAAGTATTTTCAATGAAAGTCATGGGGCCTGCAGGTTAGAGACCATGTATTACCTGTGGAAGGACAAGAAACTCATCTCTTTCATGTTCCATTTATTCCCTGTGTCATTCTGCCATGGTGATGTCAGTAAGGGGACATACACTCTCTTCAAAAACACAGGAAACTCATCTCTCATTCCTACTCCTGATTTTCCATAGCAGAGCACCAGAATAATAGCAGCATTTCATTTTTCATTACTCAACAGACAAACCTTGAGAGTGGCCATTTAGATAGCAGAGCAAGACATGTCACTGAAATCAGAGCAAAGTTTGTTTTAAGCAAAGTTAAGAGACATTGTGGTTGGTGCTGCCTCAAACAGGGGCTTGCCTAGATGACGTCTCTCAAGGTCACTTTCAGCCCCCTCCCCCCCCCCCATGATTATTCAGAAAGATTGAGGTTGTGTCATGATGCAGAGATCATGACAAAAAAACAGAAGATACAAGTCAAATGTGTCAAGTATCTGGGGGTAGCCGTGTTCGTCTGAATCCACAAAAACAACAAGGAATCCGGTGGCACCTTAGTAACATCAGACAAACATGATCACTGATCTGCACTAGTACCTGGAAACAGGGCTGAGGCTGAAAACGATAGTTGGATTAATTAGTGTAATTAATTTTTCCATTGATTTGCAACCACAAAATATTGCCTCCAAAATTTGGATGCTGAAATGAAGCAAATTCTCACAATGTTCTCTACTGCAGGATACAAATACCAAGTTCCTGAAAAATTCAATTTGAATTATGTTCCTAAAGAAGAAAAACAAACAAGCATCAGCATAATTTTAAATTTTCAAAATGTGTAAATTTTGACTGTGGGCAATTTGCAAGTAAATCATGAGACTGTTGCACAGCATCATTTTGTACAAAGTCCCTAACAATGTTAACAATCAGTCTGCCTAAATCCCAGCCCAAAAGGGGAAACATACCAAAATGAATATAGAAAAAGGGAAAGAAAATGGGGGGAGGATGGAACGCCTGTCTGGATTCCCAACGTGCATCACTTTCACTGCTGCAGTTTTGTGCATGATGACTTTTTAGCATCCTGGAGTTACACCCACCTTAAGGATTTATATGAAAAGTCTAGGAAAAAAAACAGCCCTGTTACAATAATAGAAAGTTGGAAGGATGCATAATGAATGACTGAAATTTCTCATTTCATCCACAGCTGATTCTTCTTTTGAGAGGCAAAAATACTGATAAGCTCTAGCGCTCCTGCTGGATCACACAGGCAGTGTTGGGTATTATGTTGCTGTTGCTGACAGCCCCTCACCTGCATGTGCATGAAGTACTACTGGCACAGGCTGCACCAACGTCTTGTTAACAGTCTAAGTTGACAGCCCATTTCATATATCTCCTATTCTGTTTATGTCTGTCCAGAGGGGGAAGGGGATTATGAAGTCCATATAGGATTGCAGAAAAAAGAAAATTCCCTCATAGATGGCACAGAACTATTTTAATACAATGATATTTTGAAGGGTTTTTTTAATTGCTTTACATATTTAGGGTTTGTTTTGTTTTTTTCCCATTAGTGTGATTGTTTCCTGAGGTAAAGAACCAACTCCTGCACTCCCTACTCAGGCAAAACTACCATCAATTTCAACAAAAGGGTATGGTCTTATATTTAGTTTTTCAAAATGAACAGTGCAAGCTGACTTGTGACGTGCTGCCTAAGACAAACAATTGTTCAATAAGTATAATACATATATATTATTTTGATAATACTAGCTCAATTACTTTCAAGTTAAGAAATTTAAGTTCAAAGTTTTGATCTACCTTATTTCTTATTTTGCAAAGTCATGTACATCTTTACCTGTTTACGTTTTATAAAATAAAACTTCAGTAGGTTTTTTTTTAAGCTAAGAGAAATAAAGGTCAACAGCTCATCAATCTCAACAGCAAAGCAAAAGTGCATGTAGGGCTGAATGGAAGACATTTCTAGCAAGGAAATAGGTTTTACAAGGCTATTTACAAAAGAAGTGAAAATTTTAAGGGTATTCAAAAATACTGTTACTGTGCCATTATATGCAAATACCATTCAGCATCAGAGATGTTTTCAAGTAAAATGAGACAGATTTAATGAAAATGAAAAGATTTTGTCCCAACTTCACTCAGTGATATTGAATGGGGTCAGAGTATAATTTGTCCTAAAATTGTTATTAATAACACAATACCATTTTGAGTACAATAAAATAGTTTCCTAAACATTGATACAAGTCAAAACATTGTCAGTGCTCATTCCATAGGCAACTGTGTTTCCCATTAAAATGTAGATCTTTTATTTAAAAATGTGGGGGAAGGGAAGGAATCTGTGTACGGGAATCTTTGGTTTTCTTGTTTCTGTAGGATATTTTCCCTATGAGAATCTCTATTTTAGTATACAATTAAGAGGAATGTAATATAAATCTATTTTCAACTATATCTTATGCAATTCCTTGGAGGGAATAAGAGAGAAGTGTCATAATACATGGCTTCTTATCATTTGTTTCTTCCTTGAGAGAGTTTTTTGCCCCCATCACCAAGACAACCAGTAGGATAGGATGAGGCTTAAGAGACTGAAAGTAGAGTAGAGGGACAAGAAGTCCAGAAGTTGTCCTTCTTCTTCATAATTGTTTGCATATATGATTCAGCAAAAGCCTGAACATGTTTAAAAGGAAGAACATCCTGAGTCAAGGTAATAACTGTTTCACAGGTCCATTGAAGCCTTAATCCCTGGGCTTTGGAGCAGAGCCTGGAGCAGTAGAGCTGCAGGTTTTTGCCTGGAGCTGGAGCAGGAGCAGAGCCGGAGCACAGCTCCAAAGCCCTGCAAGTTAATCCAGCCTGCACTGGGCAAAACTGGACTAGGTTTATTGGAGCTCTGGGTCTTGAATGTAGCAGGGAGGATGAATGAAGAATCAGCCAAACAAAATAAATCAGGGGAGAAATCTATAGAGATAGAGGGTGTGGTATTCATAGTCACATTAATACAAGGGATGAAATTAAGGAGGCACACGAATGAGATTTGTACCAATAATGGGGTCCAAGAGATGCCATCCTTATGTTTAGTAGTACCTCCCCCCTCAAGGGGTCTAAAGAGAATTGCCCAACATCACTCTCTGAAATGTTCAACAAGGAAAGACCAGAAATCCAAGAGAAGCCCTTTCATTCCTGCCACAGTCTGCAGATGAGTCAACACCATGTTGTGATCAGTGATGACAAAAGCAAGTGATAGATCTAAGAATATCACTGTAAACATGCTGGGGCTGATTCTCATTTATGCTTAGGCAATGTCATAGGGTCACTGCCCAATCAAAGTATGATCCAGGCCCCTCTCCTTCTGACTTTGTCTTTTGAAATTTTCTCCATCAGAGTTATTAGATACAGAATGTTCTCTACCTCACCTAGGCTTCATAAGTTTTATACCATGTCCTCACAATAAACAAAGTCTTTCTCCTTCCATGCACTTGCTATAGGGATATCTAGGATTCTCAATCACTCTTTCATCCTTGTTCTGACCCTGCTTCTGGGGAACCATTACAGGAGCCTTCACTTTCCCCTATAGTTCCTTCTCCCCAGCCTACTCTGGACTCCTGCCAGAGCCTTTCCATCCTCTAGCAGTTTCCCCTCATTTTGTCTTTATTCAGCATCCCCACTGATCTTTATAGGGGCTAGTTTTCCATCATTACACCTGATGGGCACTGGCTTATTAGTCAAAGGTGAGCTGAACCATCACTCTTTAAAGGAGCCAGGCTCACATGTGACAGGCGCCTTTACAATACTCTGGCAGTGTAATAGGGGCTTTAAGGCCCCTTACACTGCCACAGAGGTGTAAAGGGACCTAAGTGTAACTGAGAATCAGGTCCCCAGGCTGATTTAGTATGAATCAAGCCTTATAAATCAATAATTAGATCATTTATCAATGCCATCAGTGCAGTTGCTGTTCTGTACCCAGATTGACAAAGGTGAAGCAGATCTGAGGCATCTAGACAGTAGTTATTTTGCCAAAATCTCAAGAATGGAATATTGGATGATTGTTAACCAAATTGTCAGGGCAAGTGTTGAGCAAAGGGCAATCACTTCATGTTATAACATCTGAATTTCTATTATTTCTTTACAATTGACCAAAAACTCCTCTATGTCAGGCTTACTGAGGACAATTTACAGAAGCTGACGTATTTAAGAAGATCTTTCTTAGAGGGGGAAAAAAACAGCTGGGCAAAGGAGTATGATCTAACTTGATTCAGGAGGGAATGTAGTCATGCTTCGAAGTGTGAAGGGTTAGTGACGTAGAAGTCACAAATGATTTTTTCTCATTATGCCACCTCTTTTGTATTCCATTGGTTAAATGATTCTTGCTGACAGCAGCATGTTGTAATCGCATGTCAAAAGTCTGTAACATCAGAGCTGCTAACAAAGGTCCTGTCTCCACTGTCCAGTCTAACTAGATTAAGTGGGGGATGATAAGACAATGGAAGAGATTTTATGGCTTATTACAGATGGCCAGTGGGCAAAGCAAATTTTCAGAAAAACACATTTTTGTTTTTGTCAACTTTTCATGGAGAGCTTTCCCCCCATACCAGCTCTAGTGAAAAGTGATTAAGATCATATTCAATTAAAGGAAAAAGCAAAGAACTATTTCTGTATATGTGTACAAAGATTTGATGAATGCTCTTACATGCATTTCTTGGACAATTAGAAATATATCATTGTTTTTAAATTTATAGTTAGGGCTTTATTTTCATTAATCAGGCATGCATTAACGTGTTATATGCAAATATAAAATTAGATGAGTTTTGTAGTGTGTATGCAAGGTATCCAAAGTTACTACAAAATGTATTCAAAATAGACATGCAGTTGCGCATGCACAGCTGCCCACAGACTGGACTGCTAATAACTTGTCTTGATCCTGCTCTCGCTCCCATCAAAGTCAATGGACTTTCAGTAAGAGAAGACTCAGACTTTTGGCTGTTATTCTGGTTAATTTATTGCTAGAAGTAAAAAGAAAGTGAAAATTATATTGAAAACAAAAAGGTTGACACTTTTTAGAGAATAAAAGCGTACAGTATTAAATATCAATTTTTTTGTAATATGAATTGTTTTCTTTCAAGTGGTCCGAGTGAAAGTATGCAGTACAGAAAGGCCCCTCCCCCCCGAATGCTAAAAATGACTGCTGTATATGATGACTAAGAAATTAAGTGTTATGGCCCAAACAACTCAGGTCAAAAAATTTCAAAGAATGGCCACTTAAGTGTTTTAGGTACCTAATCTGAGACACCTCTGGCCTGATTATGAGAGGTACAGAGAATCCACAGTTCCCATGAATGTTAGTTGGAGCTATGGATCTTTAACACCTCCTAAAATGAGGCCTCGGATGTCCCAAGTCGGGCATCCACGTTTGAAAATGTGTCTCTGTGTAATCCCCAATGTGCTTTCCACATATTTCAGAGCAATGCTTAGTGGAAAGACCCAGACACGAACCCTGAAGTTAGTTCCTTTATGACACAGACATTGGCAGAGAAACATTAGAAATAATTGGGCCACCATACCTACTGTACATATGGACGCCATCAGTTTTCAAAGCCAAGTCTTTGCTAGTGATACAATCACAAATATTTGTCCAAAATATCTAAGCCAAAACACAGTTGTTATTTTTAGCATGAACTGAAAATGTATACGAAATTATATTTTTAAATACTCCCTCAATAAACAGCCTATATTCAACAAAACCCTGAAAACTTTGTAGTTCCAATTCAACTCCCATGGAATTCAAAGGGTGATAGATGAGGCCCTATTATTTACAAATTCCTTGTATATATACAGAAATCAGACATTTCGATATAAAAGCATCATTGTAGCCTAAGTTTTTGATGTGCTTCTGACATAACATGTTAGAAAGAAAAGGGTTTATGAGCTTTGAGAAAACTAGTCCCCTGCCATAAACAATGTCAAGTTCATCAACAGTTAAATCAGTAACTAATATCTTCAAAAGGTGTTTAATAAAATAATTCAGGGAAGGCCCAGCAAAAGCCAAAAAAATCTCTTAGAGACCTTTACTCAAGGCCAAATGAATATTTTAGGTGCATATTTTGAGACCAGTCATTTATTTTCTATTGCTTCTCCTCCTTATGGAATACTTTGTAACATTTTATGCAAGATGCACTGGATTAAATGTACATTTATCTGCATTTTAGAATGTTTTAATTTTTCACATTATATGCAGTAAACCTAGAGACATAAATCATGCCCTTGGTTGTACACAAGTGATACATTTAATATGTTAGTATCAGTTGATATATTTTCTTCATATAATGTAAAGCTGAAAAATGACAAGAGAAAAAGGGAATTTGCCAGGCCGGGGAAAGCTACAACACGGATATGAATGTGCAATGTAGCGATTAATATTGAAACAGAAAGAACTGAATATTAGAAAAGAAATAAAGTAAAACTATAAACCATACAATTGAGATCTGTATGGTAAAGAAAATATACATGTTTACAGCTTCCCTGTATTTTTGAACACTAAGTTTGTAGAGTAATTATCTAGGTGAGTTGTGTTCTGAAGAAATAAACTCTCTTCAGTTGTAGTCGTATATGAAGTAATTGGTTAGGACATTCATCTTGTTTTATTTCATTGCTTTAACACAGAAGTCATGAGAAGTTTGTTTTTGATGTTCAACTTCCATAGAATAACTTTGTTTAGGTGTTCAACCAAATGCAAAATGATAACATGAGAACATGCACTCCGCAGTATTGATTTAGAATGAAAGGGCGCAAAGAGTCAAAGGCATTAAGTGACCCTGTGTGTGAATGGGGATCCCTTGAGTTCCCACTTCACTGGGGTTTGGGTTACTTCCCTTCTCTAGCACTCACAGCATCCTTCCCCTGCTCAGGGTATAGAAGAGTGTCTCCAACCAAGCTGAACCAACCAACCAACAAGGGGAAGGCAGGATCAAAGTAAAGAAGGGGGGGAGGTGTGTGTGAGGGAGGACTCTCATGCTTTTGGGTAATCACTTGGTCACCTCTTTAAAAAGCATATAGACTAAGCTGGGCCCTAGAGTCCTGATTGGGGCTAGCATCCATCTTTAGACTCCCCCTCTCGCTTTTTGTGCCTAGTCCAGGCTGTCTCACAGGCAGCAGGGTCCATGGCTCTCTCCCTCTTCGCTGATCTAATTGCTGTAACCAGCTGTCCCTGTAGCACAGCAGTCTTCCCCTAGTTACCACCTCTTCCCTTTTTAAT